GACTGCTGTGTGAGGTGGCCAGTGGGTCAAAGACAGGCTCCCCCTCCGTAAGGGCACAGGAAAGGGGTGGAGGCTGCAGCTGTGTCCCTGCTACAGGACAGAGAAGGGGCAGAAGGGGGGTGTCTGCCTCTCTCTCCTTGGGACTGTCCGGTTGAGAGCTGGGCAGAGGCCCCTGTGGCTGAGGCGGCCCCTTGCCTACTTCCTGGCTTAGGAGGGCGGAGAAGGGAGGGCGGTGGTGAGGGAGGGCCGCGGAGTGCTGACCTCGAAGCGATGGTGCTGCTGCACTTGGTGGGGAAGTAGCTGCGGTAGTGGACGGGGACTGGGTGGGGGTCAGCTGGCCTGGACTCCATTCCTGGCCCTGCACCAACCAGACGTGCAACCTGGGACAAGCTCCTCCCCACGGCCTGGGATTGGATCCCAGCCACTGTCCTCACTGCAAGAGCCTTTACCTCCCGTGCCTCAGTTTCCTTGTCTGTAACAGGAGAAGGAAACTCAAACCTCCCCTGTGGGGGTGTTGGAGGCAGAGTGCTCCGCACAGCACCGGCCCACAGTGCGTGCTCGGACAGATGTGATGGCTGTGACACAGGCCCGGTGACTTCCATGGAATCTTGGCCAGTACCTCCCACTCATGCTTGTGTCTGGCACCTGGCATTTGACGGAACCTGTCAGCCGTGGGCTTTCCTTTGCCGCCCGCAGAGGCCTCAGGGTGCAGCTCTGGCCTCCCGTCTGCACGGCAGCTGACCCTGCCAGCTGCCCATCCATGACCCCCTCAGCCTCCAAGTGCCATGCGCTGCTCAAGCGCATTATTGTGATTTAACACTCACCAACCTTCCAAAGCAGGAACTGTCTACAGATGAGGAAACTGAGGCCCAGAGAGGTTAGGTGACTTGCCTAAGGTCACACAGCCAACAAGCGGCAGAGCTGGGTGCTCAACCATGAAGTCGTGCCGCCTCTTGCACTATCCTGGGATGGGACCCGCCAGCCCCTGCCGGGACCTGTGTTAAGTCTGGGCACCTGCAGGGGCCCTGCACCTTTCAGGGAGTCTCAGCCCATCCCAGCTCAGGGGGGGACCTTAGACATCACCCAGGCCAACCCTTTCTAATATTTAAGATGGCGATGTTGTGCACAGGGAGTTGGAGGTTCAGAGAGGACAGGGATGTAACCAGAGCCATTAGTGGGCCAGGGACAGAGTGGGCCCTGCTGCAGGACTCATTCTGTCCTGCCTCCCTCCTCCCGGACTAGCCTGGAGGCCTTAGCCCCCTGTCCTACTGATCCCATCAGAGCTCAGGCTGCCGTGCGGGGCCGGGCGGTGAGCAGCCCACTGGGAACCCAGCAGGACCGGCGCCTCGAGCGGCCCTCCCTGCCCAAGGCTGTCATGGCCTCCGGACTGGCCTTTCCCCTGCTGGGCCGTGGCCTCCAGGAGCTCAGGGGCTGCTGTCGGCTCGCTGCTGCGTGGCCAGTGCCGGTTTATAAATAGCCAATGCTCCCCGCACGCAGCGCAGCGATAGAGCGATAGTGTCCCCCGTCACAGCCCTGGGCTCCAGGCCAAAGGACCAACAGGGAACAAGACAGACAAAATGCCTGCCCTCAGGGCAGCTTGCATTCCTGGTAAGAGATAGACAGGTAATGGAAGAACTAAGCAAAAATGCATGATATTTAAGATGGCAATAGGTGATACGGAAAACATAAAAGAGGTGGGGATTTTGCAATTTTAGAGAAGGAGGTCACGGAAAGTCTCTGTAAGGCGATATTTATCTCCTGAAGATGAAGGGACTGAGGATGACGGCCGGAGCCACCCGGCATCTGGTGGAAGGGCGTCCAGGCAGAGGGAAGAGCCAGTGCAAAGGCCCTGAGGTGGGAGGCACCTGGTGGTGTCTGTGAGGGTCGGGGGTGGCTAGAGCCGGTGGAGAGGGGAGAGCAGGAGGCACGGGCTCAGAGGGCCCTCTGGTGAGGACTTGGACTTTTACTGAGTGAGGTGGGAGCCGTGGCGAGTGCTGAGCAGAGGGAGGGGCAGGACCTGACAGGTTTGAACGGGATCCCTCTGATTACTGAGTTCTGAGTAGAATCTAGTGAGGCAAGAGAAGGAAGAGGCTCCCCAGGCGGCCAGATAACGTGGCAGTGAGGTGGAGGGCAAACGAGGACGCACCTGAGGTCAGATCTGACGGGACCACGTGTGAGAGCGGAGAG